ATGGGGGGGGGGGGGGGGCAAAAAAGGAAGACAAGGCAAGGCAGGCAGGCAGGCATAATCTTTTCCAACAGTTCCAAGATGCTAAGTTGGTGCATAGATAACCTCAACATAGGGCAGGTAAAATGTTTCTAATATCTTCATTTTTCTTCAGGCTTCTTGAAGGAAAACTGCACGTGTCAATTACACTTCCTCCAGGGTGTAAAACGGCATCTGGGCAATTTGAAATTTCACTGGATGTATGGAGGCAATTTTATCCAGGCCTTCTTCAAATTATCTGTGCTGAAATCCACCACACGACGAGTACATGAGATACAATTAGGCCTTTATTCTGACTTTAGACCCCTCGAAAAAGTACAGGTAGCTTTTTTAAGAGGTGTCCCTAAACACAGCTCTGCGATTAGAAGCTGGACTGCTGATAGCAGAGCGAAGTCGGGTGGAGGTGGGGAATAAAGGGATGACAGAATAATGCAAACAGCATTGCAGCATTGTGATGCAAGCCCTGGCCATTTTCGTGTGTGTGCTCCAAAGCAGCAAGGGCTTGCAACTACTACTGGCTGCTAAGAATCAAAGCCAAAGTTTGGCTAGTTGTTTTACTGGATTGGATGAGGCTTAACTTGTCTGTAAGCAGGCTGCTGTCACCAATAGCACTGGACAATGATAGGTCAAAGTGATGGAAGAACATTACAGGCAAACCGTTCTCCTATAGCTTTTTGCCTGAACATCTAACTGAACATTGTTAAGGCAAAAAAATGTAATCAAACAGCAGATTTGGGATACAGTCACAGAATGACCTAAAGACATTTGAGGATCTATTAGCTCCCCCAACCACCAAGAATCTCAGAGGTGCTCTCCTGCAACTTATTTATTCCCGTTCACTTATCCCAAGTGCTGATGGGCATTTCTACAGCTCATCTTAATGTTCTACCCTCGGCATTTTAGAGGATACATACAATAGCGTCCCACCTTCACCCAGGTTCTGCCTGTGCAGATCAGATGAGACTGGGACAATTTGTATTCCTTCTTTTATGCTGGGAATTTTATTTTGATTCTTGGCAAAGGTTAATCCAGTCTTTATTTTAGAAATGCCCAAGACAGGCATAGACATTAAAATGTGGACGTACCATAGAATTGTATCAGGGCATTACAATGTTGGCATTATTTATTTTTACTCCTTTTGCTAAAAATCCCTAGGATGCATTTTTATCTTTTTCCTGGTTAGAGATACCCCACGTGTATGTAAAGTTAGGGTTGAGGGATTTGCATTCTTATTTTGCCACAATTGGCATAAATTTGCACTGCCTTAAACTGAACTGCATTTGCCACCTGGTTGATCACTCACCCAGTTTAAAGTGTTCCTTCTGGAACTCTTCACAGTCACATTGGCTTGTATCATCCTGAATAGTTCATCTTTTTGAAATAATGAAACTCTTAAGCTTCTGTGGTTGCCGCACTAGGACGTCTGGTTTCGGAAGATCCAGAATAGTTCATATGTGAGGTAGAAAATCCAAACAACCACCAAATATTTATATCTTCATCTCAAATTGACTTCCAAATATCTTCCATACTATAATTTGTATTATTCATATGTTTAATTTTTTTTAGAAAATTGGGGGGTCTTAGCCCAAAGAACCCCCCCCCACAGACAGCTAATTACTTACCATGTGTCTTTGTGTGTGTGCGTGTGTGTGCACACGCATGTATGTGTATTGCTGGACATCACATTGTTAATGTTTTCAGTGCTTCAAAAAAGAAATTTGAGAATTAGATTAGAATATCCAAAAACCCTGTGAAAGAAAAACATGGCTTTCCACATTTCTACCTCCATTTGTGAAATGAATAACAGCACTGTAAACATGGGTCTATGGAAGTATGCACAGGGTATACATTTTGATGCAGGACCTCTTCACAACTAAACTGCTCTTTTAAGTAAGCTTTGTGGCACTGCTTTCTAATCCAAGCATAGCAATAATCTGAAATAAGAGCAAAGTCTTCTTTGAACTGAGTTCAGCTGCTTAGTACTAAAAGATTAGTAGTGATGATAAATAAGTAAATAAAGTTACTATTCCTATTAGTACAGTAATGTTAACAATGACAATAACAGTGTTTGTACCATTGTAACATGGGGCCTTTAACAACAAGCATTGGGCTAGGATGGGGGTTGAGCTGAGAGGATGTTTGGTCTGGTGCCAGGGAGGAAGGGTACTCTTGTTTTTAACCAGGTTTTTAGGGATTTTTGTGAGCCACCTAGAGCCATTGTATGAAATAGGCAGCCAAATAAGTCCTGTAAATAAATAAATAAAGAAACTGCGATGCACCAAAGCTGATTTCTCAACATCCACAAAAAAGCTAACTTTTCTGCTAACTTCTGTTGAGTGGAAAGCCACCAATCCATTGTGCTCAAAGGAAGGCCATGATGCTTCAAAAGAAGAAATGCAAACAAAGCAAAGCAAGGAGGAGACCAACTTCCTTCCTATTAGCTACAAGTGACATGTCAGGTTACAGTTAATCAGGTGACATGCAGCCCTAACCAAGCTGACTTGCCGAAAGTATTACTTTTTGACCTCCTCTTCAGGTTGGCTTGGTTGTCATTTTGATAGTGCTGTGGTTTATGCCACATGATATAGTTTTGTCCTTCTTCTGCACAACCCTTATTCCTATTTATTTATTTATTAAAGATGTACCCAACTCCTAGCAACTCTGGGTAGTTTGCAAAGTTAAAAGAAAAAAATAACAGAAAAAAATAACAAAACCATAAAGACAAGGGAGCAAAAACATGTCAAAAGTGGGCAACAATGAAAATATACGCACGCTACTCAGAAGGGGCTTCAGCCACCCTAGCCAAAAGCCTGGGCACAACCAGGGCTTAAGGCCCTGCAAAATGTCAGTAGGGTGGGGGTCACCCAAATTTAATACCAAATCATATGATGGAACAATGCTGATTCAATAAGTGTTCCTCATGCCTACTTCCACATTTACAAGGACTCAGGCTGACAGTAACGTAGGAAGGAGTGAAAGACTGAATGTGTTTCTAATTCTCCCCATCCCCACCCCCACCCCCACCCCCACCCCACAAGAAAGTGAAAAAAGAGAAGGTATTTGTCCCATTGTGATGAGCTGGCATAGAAAGAAAGGAACTCTCGCAGCGGGATGACACAATTCATCTTACCCCTGTATGAATCTTCTGGGCTAAGGCAGTAGACATGTGGGTGCAAATGAATTTAAAAAGTATGGCTAAACTAATCAAACTGTATACAGTTATTGAAATAAGCTCTTACTACTTCTAGGAAGCAAGCCTGACTATAAATACACATTTTATTACATATACTTTAAAATTGCACTTCCTTTAGAGTCAAATTACAACTACACATGCATGACAAATCCAGTAAGTTATTAATTCATATTCCCAGCTTCTGCTGACAGATGTGTATTCAGGATGAAAAGATTCCACATGTTTATCCATAACTGCATCAGTTAAACAGTAACAAGAAGCACAGGTAGCACTAAATACATTTGAAGTCAAAAGGTTAGATTGGTTTCACCCATCTTTTCTATGAGAATCATGTGATTTACTGGCAGGGGAACCATTATAGGTTTGTGAGTAATGTGTAGGCCATAGTCCAGTATCTTGCTGTGGCCAGATCTATTTCAATAGATAGTATTTGTCACCTTTCCCTAACCTTAAGCCTTCAAGGTATGTTTGGGCTAATGCCCAGCATTTCTTATTTTTTCCTCTTATTATGTTGCTTTTATTTATGTTACACTGTATCATTCTCACTTTTCTTTTCTTTTTGTACATATCATTCCAACTTGAAATGGAGATGGGATCAACCAGATTCCCCAATATCTGAACTCATTCCAAGTTCATATTCAGGGCATCCTGGGGAAAAGATAATTGAGCTCTGGATGTTGGGTATGTGTGCCTTCTCCAACTTGGCACCCTCCAAACACATTGAGACTGCAGTTGCCAGAATCCCAACACAGCCCCAGCAGTTTGGGAGGAACACTGGATTAAGGAATGGTGATGTGGGTGTGTATTCTCTCTTAAAATCCCTTCTTAGAACTTGTTAGGAGAAACACATGGACTGACTGGGTCATGCAGGTTTTGACTGGAGAACTGGATCCTCCCAGCCAGCCCCCCCCCATAATGCTAACTACACTTCTACCTCTGCCCCCCCCCCTTTTTTTAACCTAGTCTTTGTCCTCTTCTTCCTTGGCAGCACTACCTGCTTATAGCCCATGTCCTCCCTGCTACATTGAAGCCTCCTGAGCCTGCAGACAATGCACTACTAGGGGACCCCTGACACAAAGCCATGAATTTGGGTTTGCTTAAAAGTTAAGCAAGTTCCATGCTCTTGGAGAAGTACTTAAACTTATTTCATAAAATATTAGAGTTGAAGAGGTTCTTTAGATAGAGTTTCTGCAGGAATCCAGATTGAAGCAGCGCTGGCTTTGGAGTGTATCCAGCCTCTGTTTAAAGGCACCCACCAAAGGGAAGCTTTTGCTTTGCTCCCAGGAGCGGTGATCCATTTCTGAGCCAAACTGACATGACCCTAAGGAAAGCTTTATCCATGTTTAGGAAAAAGGTGGTTCTGTTTTGGGGATTTGCTCGTTTATTTATTTTCTGTATAGGACATTATTGCTATCTTTTCCCTTATGCCCAAGAGAACCCATGCATATCCTTCTACATACTGGAAGGGCAGCTTTCCACAAACTGGTGCTTTTCCGCATGGATGTGTTGGGGCACAACACATGCTATCCTGAGTGGGGATTATGGGCTTTGTAGTCTGGCACATCTTGGGGGAGTCAGGTTTCCAGGTGAAAAGTGTAGCATTCTTAAGACAGCCTTTAGGTATTCAGCTGCATCCCAGCTGAGAGTTCAGCCCCTGGCATTGGGCTATTACTCTGGAGCTCTGTAAAATGAAAAATTAATTTGTGAGACCCTCCCTTTCCCACGTAAAATGAGTAATTTCGTTCAGCTCAAGGTCAGGGAAGAAGTAACCATGCCACTTAGTTCTCAGTTCTGAAGCTATAAATCGCAGGGTTTCTCAGACTTGGCCGCCCTTGGACCCAAAGCCTGTATGTTTCAAGCATTCTGTACGCCGTTTGTTTTGTTTTGAAACAGCAACAACTGTGACCCTCTGCAATTGCTCACGATCCTGGATGGGGTGGGGGTGGGATTCAGGCCCCCAGTTCGAAAATAGCTGATGTAACAATTGAAGGAGGTCGCCCTCATTTGAGCATGACTCAACCCTCGATGCTCAGGCAGGCAAGGTTTCAGGCCATTACAACAGGCAGGGGCTGGGGTCAGGACCAGTGTGACTGGACTCGCCTGCGGACGGTTACGTGTGCGTGGGTGTTGAACTGGAAGGAGAAGATCTGCGGAGCCCTGAGAACGATCCACGTGCCCCCGGCTTATGGGTTTCAGAGTAAGGATCACTGTTTTCTTCCTATTCGCCTTTTGCGGGATAACCAACACGCCGCCGAAGTTTGAGAAAGGGGCGGGGAAGGGAAGGCGGGCCTCCCCTTCTGCCGCTGGTTTTCAATAGCCTGATTTCTCAGAAATCAGGCTCCGCTAAACAGCGGCCTGCCTTGGAGCGCTGATTGGCCGCGGCACAATCCTTCCGGAGCGCTGATTGGCCAAGCTGCCCGGGTTTGTGTCCCCCGACAGGGGGATTCCCGGTGACCTGTAGAATAATACAGGCTGCTCCGGATCAGCGCCTGCAGAAGCTGAGCGTCTCTTGGCGGGAGCGGAGCCGGTACCTGCGCGGGAGGACGCCGTCGGTCGCTCTGGTGCTGGAGAGAGGGGTGTGATCCTAGACCAAGCACGGGAAGGTGGGTCGTTGTCCTGCTGCCGGCGGCATCGCGCCTAAATCGAGACAGCACTGTACAGTTCTGCGCACTTTACATTGGGCACCCTCACCTAGCGCTCTGCTGAATAGCTTTCATCCGGAGCAGTTCCGTGGTCTCGCAGGGACGGGGCGGTGGGGCGGCAGAAGCGCTCGGAAGTGCATCGCGGCTAGGGATCGGAGGCTTAAGTAGATTCACCGAGGTTTATTTGTTACTTGCTTACTTATTTATTTAAGTGCTGCAATGCACTGCAAAGCTGCACGTCCTCTTCCCACTTAGCTCTATTTAGACCGGGAGATCGGAGGCATCCAAAGAAGAGGTTAGCCGTTTGCAGTAAGAATGTCTTCAAAAACTTCCTGGCCTGTTTCAGAGCCGAGAGACCCCCCCCCCGGTACAAAATGCTTTAAAGGACGGAAATGTCCTTAAGCACACGAGGGAGGGGGGAATGTTTCCCCACCCCCCGTATCCGAAGAGTCTAGTGGAGCGAGCGGTAGCCTCACAGTGTTGTTTGCAGAAGCGCGTACGCTCAGAGGCTCCAGTAGAATTAGTGCAAGATGCAGGCAGCGCGCCTGTGACTCGGTCCTGAATACGGGAATTCTTGCAAGGTGAGAAAGGCGCTTTGTTTTTAAATTGCAAAGTTCACTCTGTTTCTATCCGAGTTTTGCCAAAGAGAATTTTGTGAACGTGATTTACAGTAATGGGTGGTGTTGCTGCTTTTGTTATTGGACCAGGAAGTAGAGCTTGGAGAGAGAAGAGAAAGAAGGGGGCGGGGTGAGGAGAGACAAGCCCGTTGTTAGCTTTGGTATCCTTGATTGCTGACCAGAAGATCAGCAGGAAAAGAAAATTGAAAACAAATCAGAATCTTGGAAAGGGTTTTGGGAAAGGCTGGAGAAGTGGGTAGAGATCTCCAGTGGACTGCTGACTTGAATCCCTTGCAGGGATGAATATGCACATGAGACAAACTGCGTTGTGGAAATGGGTGGAAAGAACACATTTACCTTTTGCAATAATATTTGAAATTTCCTTCCAGAGAATCATAATGCACCTGGCAAGGGAGACCAAGTTCATGCTTCAAATGTAAACATTTAAATTTGTCATTCAATTTTTTACTGATGACACCCATTGAATTCAGCATGGAAGTTATTCCATGGAAGTAAATGCATGATTTGCGGCTGTTCTCTTAAATGTCCCAGAGCAAATTCATGCAGCGCACATATTTGCTTCTTTCACAAGTGCATGAAAATGCAGAAGGCCTATGCAAGCATTGGAATAAAGTATAAAACTGAGATATATAGTTAAAAATTGTATTTGATTGTAAATGTTTTAAGAGATTAGACT